CTCCAGGCTAATTTTTGTATTTTTAGTAGACACGGGGTTTTACCATATTGGCGAGGCTGTTATTAAACTCCTGACCTCAGGTGATCCACCTGCCTCGGCCTCCCAAAGATCTGGGATTACAGGCGTGAGCCACCATGCGCAGCCCAGTGTCAGTTTTATTAATTGACATAGTCCTATAAATTTTTCTGTTTCACTGAGATTTAATTATTTGGCTTTGTGTAGTATTCAATATCCAGGCATTTACAAATTTAGGCTTTTTTGTAAAGCAGAAAACGTTGTAGAACTTGGTTTTTAGAGTAGCACATAATTTTAGATCTGGCTGAATTTACAGATAAAAATACACTTATCGGCCGGGCGTGGTGGCCAAGGCGGGCGGATCACCTGAGGTCAGGAGTTCAAGATCAGCCTGACCAACAAGGTGAAACCCCGTCTTTATAAAAAATAAATAAATAGGCCGGGCGCGGTGGCTCACGCCTGTAATCCCAGCACTTTGGGAGGCCGAGGCGGGTGGATCACAAGGTCAAGAGATTGAGACCATCCTGGTCAACATGGTGAAACCCCGTCTCTACTAAAAATACAAAAAATTAACTGGGCATGGTGGCACGTGCCTGTAATCCCAGCTACTCAGGAGGCTGAGGCAGGAGAATTGCCTGAACCCAGGAGGCGGAGGTTGCGGTGAGCCGAGATCGCGCCATTGCACTCCAGCCTGGGTAACATGAGTGAAACTCCATCTCAAAAAAAATAAATAAATAAAAATAAATAAATAAATAAAAATACACTTATCAGAGAATCTTCATTCAGTATACTATTTGAGCAGCTAGCTGAGGTTGTAATAATTTTATTTATTTATTTATTTATTTGAGATGGAGTATCTCTCTGTCGCCCAGGCTGGAGTGCAGTGGCACGATCTCGGCTCACTGAAACCTCCATCTCCTCCAGCCTCAGCCTCCTGAGTAGCTGGGACTACAGGCACACACCACCACACCAGGCTAATTTTTGCATTTTTAGTAGAGATGGGATTTCACCATGTTGACTAGACTGGTCCTAAACTCCTGACCTCAGGTAACCTGCCTGCCTCGGTCTCCCAAAGTGCTGGGATTATAGGCATGTGCCACCATGCCAGGCTGAGGCTGTAATCATTTACTAAGTAGTTGCATGCAACTCTGGATCCAACTGTAGCCCATGCTAAATAATATTGAGATATCAGAAACATTTGGCATATGAAAGTTGCAAGATGCTTCCCAGTTAAGTAAGTGTAAAACAGTGAAGGGCTTGAATAATAGTAATATGTTATAGACTTAATCTAGTAATAACTAGTAGCAATTTCCATTCTAAATTTTTTTTCTTTTTTTTTAGATGGAGTCTTGTTCTGTCACCAAGATTGGAATGCAATGGTACAATCGTGGCTCACTACAACCTCTGTCTCTTAGGCTGAAGTGATTCTCCTGCCTCAGCCTCCTGAATAGCTGGGACTACAGGCACCCGCCACCACACCCGGTTAATTTTTGTATTTTTAGTAGAGGCAGGGTTTCACCATATTGGCCAGCCTGGTGTCAAGCTCCTGACCTTGTGATCCGCCAGCCTCGGCCTCCCAAAGTGCTGGGATTACAGGTGTGAGCCACTGTGTCCGGCCTGAGATGTGGTCTTTCTATTAGAGAAAATCAAAATGGCCTTTAGTATTTGGTATGGAAGTATTTATGTGACAGTGCTTTATTTTTTGTAATTTAATAAACAGAGGAAATTAGCAGTAGTTGCTTTCATCAGGTAGGGATAGCTATAAACCCTTACAGCTCTGCCTGGAGGGTATGTTAAATCTCAAACTACATACCACAAAGTTTCATCTGCTGATAACTTTACCATTTTATCACCCCACAGGTCACCACTAGTTATCTCCAATAGTGACACAATAATAATGGAGAGGAAGAAGTAGCTATCCATACATGTCTTTTTTTTTTTTTTTTTTTTTTTTTTGAGACAGAGTCTTGGTATTGCTCTGTTGCCCAGGCTAGAGTGCAGTGGTGTGATCTCGGCTCACTGCAGCCTTCACCTCCCAGGTTCAAGCTTTCCTCCTGCCTCAGCCTCCCGAGTAGCTGGGATTACAGGCATGAGCCACCTTGCCTGCCGAAGGCTTGTCTTGAACTTCTGGGCTCAGGCATAGTGGCACATGTGGAGTACTTTTATTGTATTTTTAGTAGAGACAGGGTCTCCTCCTGGGTCAGAGGCAAAGAACTTCATTACTCACAGAATAGCAAGAGGTGTAATCCTGTTTCCCTTGGATTCCCTTGCCCCACAAGTACCACAGGCTGAGGCAGGAGAATTGCTTGAATCTGGAAGGTGGAGGTTTCAGTAAGTAAGCCAAGATTGTGCCACTGCACTCCAGCCTGGGCAAGAGTGAGATTCAAAAAAAAAAAAAAAAAAGAAGACCAGCCTGGACAACTGGACAACATAGCTGAGACCTTGTCTCTAAAATAAATAAATAAATAACGTTTTAAAAAGTAGGTGAATATATGCTGGGTTTGATGACTCATGCCTGTAATCCCAGCACTTTGGGAGGCCAAGGCGGTTGGATGTCTTGTGGTCTGGAATTCAAGGCCAGCATGGTCAACATGGTGAAACACTGTCTCAACTAAAAATACAAAAAATAGCTGGGGTTGGTGGCAGGTGTCTGTAATCCTAGCTACTTGGGAGGCTGAGGCAGGAGAATCATTTGAACTTGGGAAGCAGAGGTTGCAGTGGGAAGAGATCATGGCACTGCACTCTAGCCTGGGTGAAAGAGCAAGACTCCATCTGAAATAAATAAATTATAAAAGAAAATAGAAATTTGGCTGGGCGTGGTAGCATATGCCTGTAGTCCCAGCTACTCTGGAGACTGAGGCAGGAGAATCACTTGAACCCTGGAGGCAGAGGTTGCAGGGAGGCAGGGGTTGCAGTGAGCCAAGATTTCGCCACTGCACCCCAGCCCGGGTGACAGAGCAAGACTCCATCTAAAAAAGAAAAAAAAGATGCATACAAGGCCGGGCGCGGTGGCTCAAGCCTGTAATCCCAGCACTTTGGGAGGCCGAGGCGGGTGGATCACGAGGTCAAGAGATTGAGACCATCCTGGTCAACACGGTGAAACTCCATCTCTACTAAAAATACAAAAAATTAGCTGGGCATGGTGGCACGTGCCTGTAATCCCAGCTACTCAGGAGGCTGAGGCAGGAGAATTGCCTGAACCCAGGAGGCGGAGGTTGTGGTGAACCGAGATCGGGCCATTGCACTCCAGCCTGGGTAACAAGAGCGAAACTCCGTCCCCAAAAAAAAAAAAAAAAAAAGATACATACAGTACAATAAGACATTTAGAGAGAGGGGGAGGGAGAGATCACATTTGCATAACTTTATTACAGCATATTGTTATAACTGTTATATTTTGTTATTGTTGTTAATCTTGTACCGTGCCTAATTTATACAATAAACTTTGTCATATGTATGTATGTATAAGAAAAAACATATAGTATATATGGGACTCAGAACTATCTGTGGTTTTAGGGATCCTTTGAGGGTCTTGGAACATATCTCATCAATAAGGAGAGATTATTGTAGTTCTTTGTTTGTCCGCCCCAAGGATAAATCTATAATCTGACAACTTTGAGTGCAGTCCAGAGAAAGAGGAAACTCTCTAGCTTACCCCAAATTGTGTAATAAGTAGCTCTGCCACCCTATCTCAATATATACAATGTGCTTAATGTGTCTAAAGCAGATAAGAAGGCTTTATGGAGTCTATGGCAAGTGTTAGCAGAATAATTGTGGAAGTTACTAAAATTTTAGAATAAAAGCATGCCCCTTTCAGTATATAATTCTTCTTTTAAGATGCAATTCTTGGCTGGGCGTGGTGGCTCATGCCTGTAATCCCAGCACTTTGGGAGGCTGAGGCAGGCGGATCACAAGGTCAGGAGTTTGAGACCAGCCTGACCAATACGGTGAAACTCTGTCTCTACTAAAAACACAAAAATTAGCCGGGCATGGTGGCGTGTGCCTGTAATCCCAGCTACTTAAGAGGTTGAGGCAGGAGAATTACTTGACCCCAGGAGGCGGAGGTTGTAGTGAGCTGAGATAGCACCACTGCACTCCAGCCTGGGCAACAGAGCCAGGTTAAAAAAAAAAAAAAAAAAAAAAAAAGATGCAATTCTTTTTTTCTTTTTCTTTTCTTTTCTTTTCTTTTTTCTATATAGAGACGGGGTTTTACCATGTTGGCCAGGCTGGTCTCAAACTCCTGACCTCAGGTGATTCACCCACCTCGGCCTCCCAAAGTGCTGGGATTACAGGCATGAGCCACCACTTCTGGCCTCTTTTTTCTTTTCTTTTCTTTTTTTTTTAGCGAGTAGATCTAATAGCACCCAATACTCATGATGGGTAGCTCAGGTCCCACAGTCATCTGATACTCCACAAGTGAGCATTTAATGTCTGTCAGATTTCATATTTAAGATAAGAATTGCAGCCGGGCTCAGTGGTTCATGCCTGTAATCCCAACACTTTGGGAGGCTGAGACAGGCGGATCACCCGAGGTCAGGAGCTCGAGACCAGCCTGACCTACATGGCAAAACCATTTTGGTGTAGATCACCAAACTCAGCAGAAACCTTTCATCAAGTTTCAATGAGAGAAAAAAGTAAGCCTTGTATAGTAGGCTTACTGTGAAATGGGTTTCTCTCTACATAGCTGGGAGCATATGCCTGTGAGAGCAAAAAAGTTGGCTGTAAAGGAAGTTGAGTTATGATTTAAAAAAAACACAGGTCCTGCTCCCCTCCCACCTCCCCCATCTGAAAAAGAAAAAAAAGAAAAGAAAAAAAAAAAAACTTAGCTCTGATTTACAGATATCTGACTTATCTCCAATTTATAGATATCTGTGCATCGTATTCCAGCATCAACCAGGAGTGTCTGACTTCAGCCTTATATCACACAGAAGTAGCCCTGAAAGAAAATAGAGAGGGAAAATTCTCCCAGAAGATAAAACTTCAGGTGTGGCGTGTGTGTTTGTTTCTCAGGTAAAACATGGCTAAAAGCTTACGGAGCAAGTGGAAAAGAAAAATGCGCGCTGAAAAGAGAAAAAAGAATGCCCCAAAGGAGCTCAGCAGGCTTAAAAGTATTCTCAAACTAGACGGTGATGTTTTAATGAAAGATGTTCAAGAGACAGTAACTGTGGTGGTACCCAAACCCAAACATTGCCAAGAGAAAATGCAATGTGAGGTAAAAGATGAAAAAGATGACATGAAAATGGAGACTGATATTAAGAGAAACAAAAAACTCTTCTAGACCAGAATGGTCAGTACCCCATATGGATGAACCAAAGGCAAAGAAAAAAGCTGAAGGCAAAGCGAGAGAGAAGAAAGGGAAAAAGTAAAGCAAAAGCAGTGAAAGTGGCAAAGGGTTTGGCCTGGTAGACTCTTAAAACCTTGGAAAATGCCACATGGGACAGGTGATGGATTAGAATGTATACACATGTATAATTTGATTTCAACTCCCACCAAATGAAAACTATTTGTTTTCCTATTTTAACTTGGCCTTTTTTCTTCAATTCAAACCCAGCATAACTCCTCAAGTTTGTTTTGGGAACTTGAATAAAATACTTTGTTTCATACATCCGGGCTCTACTGATATTTTAATTGGATGCTACCTAATACCAGTTATTATCAGGCCTCAAAGTGAAGGCAGGAAGCAAGGCGCAGTGGCTCACGCTTGTAATCTCAGCACTTTGGGAAGCCGAGGCAGGTGGATCACGAGGCCAGAAGATCAAGACCACCCTGGCCAACATGGTGAAACCCATCTTAAAAACAAAAAGAGAGAAGGTCCAATATGAAAATCTTACTCATTCCTGAGCAGCAGCTAATGGTCAATCATATATTCATTCTGTAAATACTTTTTAGGCACTCACTAAATAGTAAACACAGATCTACAGTTAAGTGCACTTCAGATCAGAGAACATCTTTATTCATGGAGTTTATATTCTCATGAGAACACCCTCATTACCAAGCTGGTCTGACTACAGTCACTAAGCACCACATTTTCCATTGGTATTGAAAACCCTGATTCTTCAATATGATACCATGATACTTCAAGGGCACCTGGTTTCTAGTTGGTCATATGGTATCTTTTCCATAATGGGGAAGGATAAATTTGTCTTGCAGAAATAACTTTTTCTAGATTTAGTGTGTGTGTATATATCTATATCTATCTATCTATGCTATATATATAGATATATACTATCTATCTATATTATAGATATAGTATAGGCCGGGCGCGGTGGCTCAAGCCTGTAATCCCAGCACTTTGGGAGGCCGAGGCGGGTGGATCACGAGGTTAAGACATCGAGACCATCCTGGTCAACATGGTGAAACCCCGTCTCTACTAAAAATACAAAACATTAGCTGGGCATGGTGGTGTGTGCCTGTAATCCCAGCTACTCAGGAGGCTGAGGCAGGAGAATTGCCTGAACCCAGGAGGCGGAGGTTGCGGTGAGCCGAGATCGTGCCATTGCACTCCAGCCTGGGTAACAAGAGCGAAACTCCGTCTCAAAAAAAAAAAAAAAGGATATAGTATAGATAGATATACTATAGATAGATAGATAGATAGAGAGATACAGAGAGAGATGAAGTCTTGCTCTGCCGCCCAGGCTGGAGTGCAGTGGCATGTTCTCAGCTGGCTGCAACCTCTGCCTCCTGGGTTCAAGTGATTATCTTGCCTCAGCCTCCTGAGTAGCTGGGATTACAGGCATGGGTCACCACACTGGGCTAATTTTTGCATTTTTAGTAGAGATAGGGTTTCACTATGTTGGCCAGGCTGATCTTGAACTCCTGATCTCAGGTGATTTGCCTGCCTCAGCCTCCCAACATGCTGTGATGAGCACCCAGCCTAGATTTGGATTTGTTCTGAATTTCATGCCTGTACCAAGAATACCACCTATGGACCTTACTGAATGAATATCATACACTGTGAAGATAACCGTACAACATACAACATTACCTCCACAAAGAAATTCACTTCACAATAAACAAAGTAAACAGATGAGATGACACCCAAAGGATTTATTGGTCCTCCCTTTTTCTACATCAGTCAGAAAGAGCTGCTCTTGTAGAATGCTATTCAAAACTCAGTTTAAGCCTGGGCGCAGTGATTCACGCTTGTAATTCCAGCATTTTGGGAGGCCAAGGCAGGTGGATCACGAGGTCAAGACATCAAGACCATCCTGGTCAACATGGTGAAACCCTGTCTCTACTAAAAAAAAAATTAGCTGGGAGTGGTGGCACATGCTGGCAGTCCCAGCCACTTGGCAAGCTGAGGCAGGAGCATTGGTTGAACCCGGGAGGCAGAGGTTGCAGTGAGCCGAGCTCGTACCATTGCACTCCAGCCTGGTGCCTGGCAACAAAGCAAGACTCTATCTAAAAAAATAAAAGACAACAGTTTAAGAAACTAATCTGCTGATGTGTAGAATGGAAGTATGTTTTAAAAAGAAAGAGAAAAAAGAAATTAACCTAGAGTCAATAACTTGAAGGTTGGAATATTATCCTGCAAGATACCCTGAACCAGCAAAGTAATGGTGCTCTTTCCTTGCAAAGCAAAAATAAAATGACAAGGGAACCAAGGGGTGGAGCTTGGGGATCATATCTCATAATTATGCCACATGAGAGACTTAATGATGTTTCCTTCCCATTCCAAAAGCACTGGGCTCTCCTAATATAGAAGGAAGGATTACTCATATTGAGGACATATTAATGATTCAGACTGAATTGGAAGATTGGACAGCCCCTTGTCCATTTTGAGATCTCAGAGAAGAAAGGAGAGAGGAATGGGGGGGAAGAGAAAAGGAGCAGATGGAGAGTGGAAAAGATGGAGAGGAGTAGGAGAGGCAGGGAGATCAAGATTCTCTTATAGTTCTGAAGGTTGGTTTTTTGTTTTTTGGTTTTGAGACGGAGTCTCTCTGTCATCCATGCTGGAGTGCAGTGGTGTGATCTCTGCTTACTGCAAACTCCACCTCCTGGGGTCAAGCAGTTCTCCTGCCTCAGCCCCCCAAGTAGCTAGGATTACAGTCACTGCTATGATGCCCAGTATTTTTGTAGAGACGGGTTTCACCATGTTGGCCAAGCTAGTCTTGAACTCCTGATCTCAGATGATCCATCCACTTCAGCCTCCCAAAGTGCTGGGATTACAGGCGTGAGTCACCGTGCCCAGCCAAGTTCTGAGGGTTGGAAGTCTGAGACGAGGGTGCGTGTATGGTTGGGTTCTGGTGAGGGCACTTTTCCTGACTTGCAGATGGCCGACATCTGGCTGTATCCTCAGACTGCAGAGAGAGACAGAAAGAGCAACAGTGTCTCTCTTCTTATAAGAAAACGAATCCTGTCATGAGGTCTGCATCCTCATGATCTCATCTATACCTAATTATCTCCCAAAGCCCCCATTTCCAAATCCCAACACATTGAGAATTAGGGCTTCAACATATGAATTTTGGGGAAAAGAAATCTGGCTCATAGTACCATCTTAATTAAGTGATAAAATCCACCAATAATAGGACAAGTTGATATCATATGTCTTCTAATATGATGCAATAAGAACAGCATTACTTCGGCCGGGCGAGGTGGCTCACACCTGTAACCTTAGCACTTTGGGAGGCTGAAGTGGGTGGATCACTTGAGGTCAGAAGTTCAAGACCAGACTGGCTATCATGGTGAAACCCTATCTTTAAAAAAAGAAAAGAACAGCATTACTTCAATGCTATTCCTGCTAGAAATACATAATCCGAATCTGTTCATGAGATAAATATGAAACAAAGCTAAATTGAAATACATTCTGCAGGCCAGGCGCAGTGGCCCACGTCTGTAATTCCAGCACTTTGGGAGGCCAAGGTGGGTGAATCACGAGGTCAGGAGATTGAGACCATCCTGGCTAACACGGTGAAATTCCATCTCTACTAAAAATACAAAAAATTAGCCAGGTGTGGTGGCATATGTCTGTAATCCCAGTTACTTGGGAGCCTGAGGTAGGAGAATCGCTTGAACCTAGGAGGCAGAGGTTGTAGTGAGCCGAGATTGTGCCACTGCACTCCAGCCTGGGCGACAGAGTGAGACTCTGCCTCAGAAAAAAAAAAAAAAAATACAATGGGACATGTAACTCGGAGAGACAAGGATTTGAGACATATGGTAGAGTGGTTAAATATACGGAATGAGAGGCTGGGCATGGTGGCTCACACTTATCATCTCAACACTTTGGGAGACTGAGGTGGGCAGATCATGTGAGGTCAGGAATTCAAGACCAGCCTGACCAACATGGAGAAACCCTGTCTCTACTAAAAATACAAAATTAGCCTGGCATAGTGGCGCCTGCCTGTAATCTCAGCTGCTTGGGAGGCTGACGCAGGAGAATCTCTTGAACCCAGGAGGCAGAGGTTGCGGTGAATCGAGATGGTGCCATTGCACTCCAGCCTGGGCAACAAGAATGAAACTCCCTCTCAAAAAAAAAAAAAAAAATATATATATATATATATATACATATGTGTGTGTGTGTGTGTGTGTGTGTGTGTGTGTATGGATATATATACACACATATATGGAATTAGAACGTAACATACATGTATGTAATCACAGTCTCAGAAGCAGAGAATGGAGGAGAGGTAATATTTAAAGAGATTATGACTATGAAGTTTTCAGAACAGTTAAAAGGCATGAGTCCACAAAGGACTACATACACCAACAAGGTAAACAAAAATAAACTCACACCTATATATATTTTAGTTAAACTGTACAATACCAAAGGCAAAGATAACATCTTCAAAGCAGCCAGAGAGAGAAGACAGATCCTCTCAACGAGATGAGAGTTATGCAGAGAGCTGATAACAAAGGCCAGAAGATAGAGAATTAACATTTCCAAACGGGTGAAAGAAAAAAATAACGTAGATTTCTGTGTCCTGAAAACTTAGTCTTTTTCAATACGAGGGCAAAATTAAGCATTTCTATGCTAATAAAACCTTAGGGAGTTTATGGCCATGACAACTTCACCGAAAGAACCATTATCAGCCAGGCACGGTGGCTCACGCCTGTAATCCCAGCACTTTGGAGGCCGAGGCAGGCGGATCACCTGAGGTCAGGAGTTCAAGACCAGCCTGGCCAACATGGTGAAACCCCGTCTCTATATTAAAAATAAATAAATAAATAAATAAATAAATTAAATAATAAATAAATAAATAAATAAATAAAAGAACCATTATTAAAAGAAAAGAAAAGAAAAAAGGCCAGGTGCTGTGGCTCATGCCTGTAATCCCAGCAGTTTGGGAGGCCAAGGCAGGCGGATCAGGAGGTCAAGGGATCAAGACCATCCTGGCCAACACAGCGAAACCTCATCTCTACTAAAACTACAAAACTTAGCTGGGTGTGGAGGCACGTACGTGTAGTCCCAGCTACTTCAGAGGCTGAGCAGGGACAATCACATGAACGCAGAAGAATCACTTGAACTCCGGAGGTGGAGGTTGCGATGAGCTAAGATCACACCACTGCATTCCAGCCTGGCAACAGAGTGACTCCATCTCAAAAAAAAGAGAGAGACAAAAAAAAAAACAACCACAAAAAAACAATCTGAGCACATTTACAAAAATCA